TAATCCCATAGAGTAAAAGTGGTAAAATTTATATTGGAGAAACATATATTTAAAAAAAAAAAAAAAAAAAAAAAATGGACAACACACATTTATAAACACAAAAAAAGTTATAGGATACATTACACTTTTTTATTCTCAAATGCAAACCAGGTTTTCAATTTGAAAAATGCCAAAATGGGTAAATTTATATATTATGAATTATCTAGAAGAATTATTGAATCAGCTAGAATATTAAAATTCAATTCAATTAATCAAAAAGTAGGTATTTCACATTTTCTAGCTAAGATAATACATAAAAAATATAATATTCAAATAAATACTGGTTAAATAACTTAATAAAATTTTAGCACCTAAATAATAATCATAAATTATATTTTGAATTAAAAGTATTCACTATTTTATTTAGTTGTACACACTTTTAATGTTCTAATCTGATCTTTCATTCTTTTTTTTCAATTATGTTTTGAAAATGCTTACATGAAGCAGCAAAACATCAATGCAAAAATAAGAAAAATTTTCAACATCCAACTAGTTTTCACATATTCCAACTTTACTTATTTTGAAACTTGTAAACACAAAATTAATGCTATAAAATAATTATCCAACATTTTTTATCTGCACAAAGTCTACATTGATTTTAATTAAAAATTCAATAAAATTATTGAACACAAAATTAATAGCTGGGTTCAAAATTTGGTTGAGATAGTTTGTGTTCACGATGTACTAATGCCTTTGGGAAAAGCAAGAATCTATCTTTTCTCTCCTACTACACTACAGCAGTAGAGGTACATTTACACAGTAGACTGGCCACTCTAACTTAGTTGATAATCAATGTAGAAGGACAGGCTGTGAATGTAAAACTGAGGCAAGCAACTTCAAATGTGTAAAACTTATTTTCTACTGAAATTACAGCATCATCAGTCTAGCTTATGGTGTTATACCCTACAACAAGAATAAACAAAACTCATTCAATGAGAATGGCAAGAGGAACTTTTAACAGATGCTAATATATTTTAAGAGACTTATTCAAGTTGACAAACTAATATAGACAAATACAATAGAAGCCAATTTTTAACCTTTATTATGCTTGCTTTTGTTTCAATTTTTGTACAGTGAGAAATAAAACCATTTATCTTAAACTGGTCTTTCCCAAACTTTTATGGCCTGAAGATCCTCAAAATGGAAAACATAATTTCATTGCTTTTTCATTTAGTTTTTAGCTAATAAATTATACTCAGTTTTACTTTATAATCAATAAATCACAAAAGAAACTGACTGAAGAAAGAGAAAGATACAAGTTTAACTAAAAGTCTCTCATGCTTATCATAGCGTCAGAAGTAAGAAATTGCATCAGACTCCAGCCACCTTGGAATATAAGAACTGAATGTGAACACACTGGGAATACATCAAGGAAGTATATACATATGTTAAATTTTCTTGTATCAGAGACTCAATGACATGTTATCTTCCAAAATTGTGACCTAAATATATTTCAATTATTTTTTTACTTTTTAACATTTTTAAAAGAATTTCTCATCTATTTTTTTCTCTTTCTCTCAACCAACCTATGACCAACATTTAGGTCAGTAGTTCCTAAACTTTTTTTTCTGGGCTGCACTTTCAAAATGAAAATTTACTTGTGCCTCACCAAATCTTATTTGATAAAAAGTACATTCAAAAATAAAAACAGAGAGAGGGTTAAAGGGAAATAACCCCGGATTTGAAGTCAGAACATTATCATTGATAACTCTCTCCTCTAATTTACAGATCCTAGTTACTATTTTTTAATACTTGATATGATGCAAAAATATCACAATAATAAAATCGGTCAATAATTATTCATAACTATTTGTACTGAGACTCATGCATGCAAGTAATCCATAATAATATTTAAAATTTTGAAATCATATTTATTTTTGGCATATGAATATTTTAAAACTGTTTCTAAATCTTTAATTGTTTTTTCAATCATTCCACCTCCCCCTGCTATCCATTTCAGCTGCAACTATGAGGCATACCACACCATTTGGCAACCACTGATTTAAGTTATGAACACTGGTTTGGAAGCCACTGGCTTAGAACCTTATCTGCTAATGCTTTGGAAAATGCTGAGTACAGTTTTAGTCTATTCAAAGATAAGAGTGAGATTTGTTTGTATTTTTCTTGGAAATATTTTGCCTATAATAATACAAAACAACTTCAAATTTGAAACACTTATAAAGGACAGACAGATTAATTTTAATATATTTAAAATACAACTTTATATTAAAAGTAGAAGAAATGCTAAAGTATAAAGCAAATATGATTTCTATATTGCTGAGTGAACCGTCATCATAATGATGGAACTAACAATATTAACTATACATTAAGAAGGAATATGTTTGAAAATAAAAGTCACGCTCAAGTTTCAAATCATAATATTGGCAATCATAGTCATGTTCCAGCATTCTCTCGTCTTTTGAAAATCCAAAAATAGAGCAAAAGTAAAATCAAAGAATCTTAAGAAATTTCCCTAAAAATATTTTTTTATTTTTTTTTAAATAGTCAAATTTCTTAAGAGCAGAAATCTATATTTCTCTATTTTTCAATGAACTGCGATTGGCTTTGAAAAATGTGCAAAAGATCAAAAACAGAGAAATTCATATTTTGTTCAGTTAATCATCTGTGGTCTATTCTGAAATTATGAGGTTCTTTCAGTTAATTGTAGGGCAATTAAACAAACCTAGAATTTGTAGAATTCTGCACTGTGAAAATGAGTTGGCTAACATACAAGGGGGAGGGTTAACAATTGCATTCAGATTTATTTGAAACTTCACTTTTCAGTTATTTTGCAAAAATACTAGCATCATAGCTATCAGAACTGACCAGATTATTTATGCATGGATCAGTACTTGTTCCAAGGATCAGTGTATCTGTGCACTCCTGCCAATGAACTGTGTATCTGTGCACTCTTTCTAGGATCAAAGTATCTATCAGTCCTTGGTCTTCAATTGTCACATGCTATTTTACAATCTAATTCTAATTTTTAAATCATAAAAAGTAGAAACATCCAAAGAAAGCTAACATAATCAAAAGAAATAAAAAGCATGTATCAACCTTGTCTTGTTGTTATGGTAACATGAGATGTTGTACCCATGTTACCATAACAATGGAATATCTCATTAGTAAGTAGGAAGTTGAGGTTGTATGATTGATAAAGTCATATTGTATTTTATATTACAGAAAAATTTTTTAATGTTTAGCAATATTTTCTTGTGAAAAATCAAGACAAGTTAGAAGTTTTAATGCTTGAAAGCTAAAAACATTACAATTTTGAGATTTTGGCTTCTGTATAAAACATTCTAAATATCTTAATTTGTTAATGAGAATTTTACACACTGTAAGGACAGAATGAGTTCATCAATATCTTTTTCTTTTTCAGAATGAAGACTTTTTAAAAAAAATAAGTGGAAAAAAATAGCAGCTCTACAAAATAATGGAAAAATAAATTCAAAATGTCCAGTAAAACAAATTGGTGACAAAGACATTTAAAAAAAAGAAATCCTAATTAAACACTGATGTAAGAGAAAGATATATGCAATTAAAATATTAAATTTTGTTTTGAATGCTCATTGATGAAACAAAGAATACAAAGGATTGCAAGATTATTTGGCTATTAATCCTTTGGAAACTTATCACAAAAAGTTTTACACATTGATGTTTGCATCATCATCATCATCATCATCATCTAAATGTTGACAAATGTGGAAAGATTTATCAAGATGAAGAGAAAAACAGATAGGAAAAAGAAATAGAAAAGTTGGCCTGAGATGAGAACAAAGGATGACAATTGGTGTGAATAAATGGAAGAGCAACATCTCTTGGAATTGTTTCAGGGAAGTTTTTCCCAACATATATATATATATATATATGAACAAAAATGTTATACCACAGAATTTATATATTGTTTTAAAAATGACAGAGAAAATTCTTTAAAAGGAATCTTTTCCATCCAATACTACTTCAGAAAGATTAATTGGGAAAAAAACAAACATACAAAATAAAATAATCATAAACAGCAAAATTGTAAAAGTAATAAACTTATTTTAGTTTTGCTTCTTTATTCACCATCTCCTATACTTTTTCAGTTTTGTAGTTTATGATTATTTTTTTTTTGTATGTATGTTTTTTTTTTTTGGTTCCAATTAATCTTTTTGAAAAAGTGTTGGACAAAAAATGTTCCTCTTAAAGAATGTGCTGCAATATTTTTAAAATTCTCTCTCTCTCTCTCTATATATATATATATGAAGAAATATAGTTTTAAGGTGTGCTATATTTATGGGATAAAGTGCTCAGTATCAGAGATAGAGTATATAACGGACTGTTTCATGCTAGACGCAATTGTCAGGCCTGACGTAGCCTGACAATTGCATCCAGCATGAAACAGACTGTTGCCTCTGAGTGTTGACTTCATTGTTCATATATATATATATATATATATATATAATAAAATATATGTATAATGTAATAAAAGAGAAACAGCAAAAATGAAATAAGGTGTATTTCTCCATAGGGGACCATATATTGAAGGGTGTTTAATTTAATAAAGAAAAAAAAAAGAAAAAACATAAAAATTCCAGTTTGATCGTTTATATGACATCACCTTGAGTGACTTGAAATTGGTTCCATCAAATGTGAGAACATTGGAATTAAAAAAACAGTTGAACAATCCTTGAACATGAATCTAGTGACAATCAGAAGTATTTGGGATAGAAAAAATAATATAAAATAAAAGTTATTGTGTGTGTGTGTGTGTGTGGATGTGAAGTGGAGAAGGAAAGCATATGGAAAGAGTGGGCCAAGAGAATGTGTTATGAAAAAAGAGGAAGCAAGAAAGTATACAAATGGAGGGATGAGGGAGGAGTAGAGATAATAGAGAAATTGAAAAGAGGAGGAAACAAGAAGTTGAATAGAAGTGAATAGAGTAGTTTAAAAAAAGAAAAGAAAGGAAAATATAAAGACTAGAAATGCAAGAATATTATAAAGAAGAAATAGATAGCAAAATAGAGAAAGATAGAGAGCAAAAGGCCAAATACGAAAGAAGGGGAGGCTTAGAAGGGAAAAAGAAAAGGCATTATGACAACTGTTGCATAATTGTTGCTTCATTCAAGCAACAATTTGTATGAAATGCAAATACAACAAACAGCATGGGACAGAAGTAGCAGGAAAAAAGAAAAAAGATAAGGTAAAAGGAAGTGTCAAAAATACAGAAGGTAGAGAGAAAAATTAAAAAGAAATAACTGTAGATGGAAGGATGACAAAAGAGAAGAGAAGGAGGGGGGGTTAATTGAAAGAAAGAGGAGGAGATTCAGAAAAGAAAAAATAAATAATCAGACTAAAAGATGAGTTAAGCAAGAAAGAAAATGGAGTGATGTATAATAGTAATGAAACAAAGTGGAAAAGAAAAAGGAAAGGAAAGAAATAACAAAAGCAAATAAAAATATTGGAAAAAGAAGAGACATCGGGGAAAAGAATAAAAAATAAAAGTAAAGGCCTAACCAGAAATCAATAGAGAGGCTGATCAATATAAGCAGATGCTGATTACCGATTAAAGGACTCTCTTCATTTCAGGAATTGGAATTTCATCTCAAACCCCGGCTGAAGAAAGGAATGGTAAAATATATATGCTAGGAAATGTAACAATTACCTCCCCTCTTTTTGAGTGCTACAAACAAGATGCTATTTTGAATCGGTTGTTAAAAGAAAAAACAAAAGCAAGACAAAACAATGTTTGCTTTCAACAGCACTTGCCAATTTCAAGAATTTTCAAATTTAAAAGCAGAAGAATGTCACAAAACAAAAAGGATATGAAGAAGATAAAAAGATAAAAAGTGCAAAAGAGAATAACAAAAAATAAATAAAAAGATCTCAATAAGATAAACAAAGTGAGACAATAAATCAAAAAACTTAAAAATGGTTTATGAAAATAAAATGATAGGAAAACTTCTCAAGAAGAATCAATGAATATATATATATATATATATATATATATATATGGGCACATGGCCGAGTGGTTAGAAATTTGCTTTACAACTTTGAGACCCCGGTTCAATTTATCAGGAAGGTGACTCCTTGATGTTACTGGCCTGTAGAAAGAAAAAATGCCAGAAAAACTATACCACACATTGACCAAAGACTTGTGAGTGAAATTAGGTAGATGGAACTATTTGGAAGCTGTTGGTGGTTGAGCTAGCATGAAGTTGCAAGTCATTGGGACTGAGGGTTTGAATGTGCTCTTCCAAAAACTGTAACTAAGGTCCACTCAGCATAGTTGTAGTATAAACCAGAGGTAAGCTCTTTTGTGGTGGTGGAATGTTGAACAATATGTACCTGAGCAGGGGTCTGCAATAAGGATTGGCTAGCTACCCTAGCAAACAGGTATACTTGGATATGAGTAGGCAGCCATTTTCTTTTCTTTTCTATATTGTGTGTGTGTGTGTGTGTGTGTGTGTGATGCTTACACTTACCTGAAATAAACCTGATATGTAGCCAACAGATTGATTTAGTTGAATTAGCCATGTGTGTGTGTGTGGTAGTCTCATGGATAGGATGCCTGTGAATGAATCAAATCAGACAGACAAGATAGTGAATTGTAATAACAGTATACATTCTAGCACCTTTGACCAGGACTATATCACTCTTGGAAATAATGTGCTGTGTTTGCAACTAGTACAACTAATGCTAATACCACAGATCTAGAGAGTGTGGGGGTGTGATCCCTTCATATTGAAACTAGCAGCTTTCATGTAGGGTTAAACATTACCATAAATGTTCACAACAAGCCACTCCCATCTCAAACAGTTCCATTTTTGCACTGATCCTCAAGAGTCCATAGAGAGACATCTTTTATTCCTCAAGAGTCCATAGAGAGACATCTTTTATTCCTCAAGAGTCCATAGAGAGACATCTTTTTATTCCTCAAGAGTCCATAGAGAGACATCTTTTATTCCTCAAGAGTCCATAGAGAGACATCTTTTATTCCTCAAGAGTCCATAGAGAGACATCTTTTATTCCTCAAGAGTCCATAGAGAGACATCTTTTATTCCTCAAGAGTCCATAGAGAGACATCTTTTATTCCTCAAGAGTCCATAGAGAGATATTTTTTTTTATTCCTCCAGTCCACCTTCTGGTCCTGATAGAAGAACCAGAGTATACTTGGTTCCTTAGGTTGCTTGAACTTGTTTCTTTCTCTTGACCATGGATGACATGCCCCCATCAGATGCATTCTGCTTATTTTTGACCTGAACATGAAGGACTTGGTCAATATCAAGAAGCTCAGTAGTTTTGAGTCATTGTGGTTGGCAGTTATTGCCAGGAGCATAGTGTGCTTTTTTCTTTTTTTTGACAACTGGCAGGTTAAGAGAAATGTTCAATGTTAAAATTTGGTGCCACGTACTATGTAATATTTACAGCACATCACATTTTTGGTCTGCTGAAAACATGTTTTCAAATACTTTGCGCACACATACACATCTTGAAAAAATATTTGTATTCAAAGATGATGATGAAAATTCACATAAGTAATTTTTGTTGCCTGATGATCAAATGGTAGTAAAAGTGACAGACACATTAGGAAGATTGCTGTGACCAGAATTTTAACCAATTTGCATTGTCAGTCTTTACTTAATCTATAAGTATTCACATGTATTTTATGACAATATATGTGTGTATACTTACTGAACATACTTGTGAATAAGCTGATTTTATGTATTGTGTGACACCTAAAATTTTTTGCATAAATTTTAGCCACTCCAGAAAAAAAAAATTACCTTTGTATAGTGCAACCAGTCACCACATTCATGAGTTAAAAAAAAAAGTACCTGCGTATAGTGTGACCCTGTTCACCTATTTTTTGCATTGTGTGTGTGTGTGTGTGTGTGTGTGTGTACTGCAAAGTTTTCACTCTGACCTATTTCTAAAAATCAGTATTACGATGACCAAAAGAAAGAAATCCTTTAGAAATGTGAAAGGAAGTTAAATGATGAGCCAAGTGTATTGAACTGCAAGGTAAATATGTTTCATGCCTTTCCATATTAGCCAGGTTGAAAACTTATCAGCACCTCCTTGTGTATGTGTGCATGCCTGCACGCATTTCTAAGAGATATCCCTGTGCATTTACATGTATTAAATTGTGCAATTTTGTGAATATGTACAATTACTCAGGCTCAATTAGAAAAGCTGTTTCAATGGCTATAAATATACATGGATAAAAAGATTGGTGTCCAGATCAGCATATAAAAGTCCTTTGAAAATATGACAGTTTTTAAAAGCAGATAAGGCAAGAAATACACTGTTACAGTTCATTTCTTGCCTTATTTAATTGTAATATACCGAAAAATATTTGTGAATATGAAAGGATTGTGATAAAAATAAGCAGACATAATGTTTTGTAATTTATTTAATCAGCCATCCCAAAAAGAGAATTTGCTGCCTAAATACACAAATTAATAAATATACATATTATCTCTCACAGTGAGCATGACTGAGTTTCATGCACAACACAATTTTCAGTTGCTGAGTATGAACTGACTGTTATACAATTTACATAATTCAAATTGTATAAATGTCAGTTCAAAAAAGGAAAAAAAAAAGATTAACTTTATATTTTCATTGTGCTTTTTTGAAGAAATAAAGAAATTTCTGTTTTGGTTTTGAGTGGGGAATAAATAGACAAACAGATTTCTTTGCTTTTTTTTTTTTTTTTTAAACGCACCTAATTTAACAGATAAAAATTTTACCAAATATGAGAAAAAAATTATATAATTTGATTCTCATATTTAAAATTCCCCATGGATTTATTTTACTGATGTTACTTTGTATCCTACAATATAATATGCCAAATGTATTTTTTTTCTGTAATGTCTGGAACATTTTATTTATGTTATCTTCCTGGCACAAATGAATTATTTTTTTATATTTAATTCTTCTATATCAAAAAAAATTACATGTGAAAACTTAATAATTGCAGCAAGGACTTAACAAAATCAGTAAACAAGTATTACTATCATACTGGACATAAAGTGGGGGATCAGTTTTCTGATGTTATTCATTAATAAACTGATCCCCCACCTATCATCACAATATATTAATCATTGGAAACAATATTTCAAGACTTGTACATAAAAACTTTCCAATAATTGTAGTGTGGTTTGAACAAATTATGATGTCATTTTTTATGGCATATGTATAGTGAGGAAAGAGAGCTTGGGGAACTTAACACTCACAGGGTATATTGAAGACAAGAGAAGTGGTGGGGGTCAGGGAAAATACTCTTAACAAATTTGTATGAATGGATGGCAGAATAAGAACAAAAAGCAAGGATAAAGAGACAAAAGTTACTTTGACCAATAAAGGATAAGAAGTCGTGGAGTGTTATAATCATTACATCCTGCACATAAAAGAAGATACTCATATTCTGTTGAACATAAAGTAAGAGACAGGTTTTCTATTCTTATTAATTAATAAACAGATCCCCCCAAATTACTATATATAATTATTGAAAAGTATATTTAAAGCTGAAAATATTGAGGACTTAAAAGAGTAAGTTTTCATTTTGATGAAACAATCACTTTGTAATCTGAGAAATTTCAGTGCAATTAAAAATGAACCATCAAAAAGTTTGTCAGGTGAATTGATTATCTCCCCTGAGGTGGATACCTTTTTTTAACAATTATTAATATTATAATAATGGTTTTAAAATTCTTGATTTACCCTACTTCAAGAGATATTCCATGGTTACTGGCAAACATGCCTCCTATTAACAAAATGTCACATTAATTTACAGGGTAAACTTTACTGTTTTTCCTTTGTTTTGTGTTAGTTTTCTTTGGATATTTTTACTTTTAATGATTTGGGAAACTGAATTCTTTCTTATGTACAAGGATACATTTATTAGTTGAAAAATATACAAAATGTCTATCTAAACAAAAATCAAATAAAAAAATTTAGTTAACTTCAATTTTAAAACCATTATTATAATATTAATAATTGTTAAAAAAAAGGTATCCACCTCAGGGGAGATAATCAATTCACCTGACAAACTTAACAGACATACAATTCTATAACTAAAGAAACATTTCCTCATATTTAATCAACAACTGTTTACTTCAATGTGATGTTCATAACCCATTAGGCCACTGTACCTACTTCAAATAAAGAACACATTAGGGGTGACTGACTCAAAACCAAGTCTAATTATAAAGATTCTTATTTCGTATTTTTGAGTGACAGGAATTCATATGCGACAAATTATAATTCAAGAATTTTATACAATCAGTGCAAAATAACAGTTCAATAATTCTAAGAAAAACTAAATATAAAAAATGATGTAACATTTTCTTCATTAATACAAATATCTTTGATATATCTTTACATTGGTATCTACTCATAGAAGATCAAAAATTTTATATATTCTTTGGAATATAAAATTGGCACACATTATTTATATTTTGTCCTCATCTTTATTGTTGCTATCACAATGTTTTGGCCATTGTACCCTCCGGCCTTCTTCAGGTGTATCTGGGTAACTTACTGTTCAAATATTTTCATTGGATCTTTAACGTATCTTCACATTGGTATCTACTCATACAAGATTGAAAATTTTACATAACCCATGGAATAAAACATCAAAAAAAAAAAAAAAAAAAAAAAATTAAACAAAATTGGCACAGCAATTCAGAAGAAACAAAAAATGAAGTTTTCGTAAAAATAGCAAAATTTGCATGTGATCTTTAAAAAGAATCATTGACTGTCAAAATGCAAGTAAAAAAGTGTCTGATATAAGTTAATGCAGGACACATCCTTCAACATTAAAATGTGGGACAATCTCACATTTTACTGGACAATTGGCAACCCTAGAAAAAACTTGCCCCCACAATTTTTACCCACCAAAAAAAGGACTCAGAATAATCTCTCTCCTAGTTCTTATATGTGAAGTTTGATGTGTTTGGTAAGTTAATCTTTACCCATATGCTATAAATTACTGGCATTTGTACTGAACCAAAGTCCATAATACTGTAATATTAAATGTAAATTTGGGGAAATAAAATAAAGTAGTTGGTAGTTAACATCAGTGAATATCATTTTTCCAAAAAATCTTCAACAAAATACCTACTGAGCTTGTCTTACTGATTATTTTAAAATTAACAAGTTTAGTGATTTGAAAGTCGTAACTATTTAATTTTCTGATTTCTTATTGCAGTTAGCTATTTAACAAGTTTGCATCTTAACAGATTAAGCTATTTAACTATTAAAGTCTATCAAAAGTATTTCCTTTAACCATTTTTAGTAGTGACATCATACCAAGTTTACCTGCTAGTATCATCTACTACCACAACTACCAGAAGATGTTACAAGTTGAAAAGCTAAAAAATTATAAAAATGCTGGTGAATTTAAAAAAATCCAAAAAGATCTACAAATTTCTATATATATATATATATATATATATATATATATATATATATAATAAAAAGAGAAGATGATGTGTGTGGTATGGAATGTTAGGAAGGTTCGTGATGGGGGAGAAAGTGTGTGTCAGCTGATATCACGTTCCGTTCTGTGGTGTAGTGTAGATACAGAAGTCATCGCAGGAATCCTGACATAGTAGAGCAAACAACGGAAGCCTGTCTACAGACAGAGCTGACAGCACTGGGGTCATGATTGATACGCTTTGGCTTGGCTCAGAGCTTTGGTGCTGAATGTATTGATTTTGAAAGAAGAGCCATCTTCTCAAAGACGGTACCTGCCAGTGATGAGAGGAAACACTTCACAGGCTGCAGTCTCGTTTCTGAATACAAACTCACTGTCAGAAGCACGCAGGTTTGCAAAAAGAGAAAGAAATATCAAGAGAGAGAAAAAGAGGGAAAAGATAAATGATTGTTCAATGTAGAGAGTGCATGTGAGTAAGTAAAATATATTTTCTGAGAGAGAAACACAAAGGAAAAACAAAGATCTAATAAGAAAAAAGAAAGAGAGAAAATAAAGAGAAGGAAGTGTATATAAAGAAAAAATAAAGACAGTGTACAAAGATGTCAGGGAACAACATCAGTAAAAGAGGAAAAAAAAAGATGTTGATGATCATGGTTCTCTACAGCTTTCTTTTTTCTTATAATATCTTTAAACTTTGTACTGCTATACCTGCTCTTGGGGAAAATAGTGGCAGTGATATACTGTGGCTATTTTTTTTTTTTTTCATGGGTTTGAATTCAAATTTGTTGTTTTTAAGATCCAAGTTTGAATTCCAGTCAAGTTTGTTAGATTCACTTATGCACAAATAGCCTTGGGAAAGTTATGAATACATATCTTCTCCCCACCCCAGCTATGGGTTGAATAGCAGGACAGACTGGGTTCTTTAATCTTGGTTGGTAACCAGTCTACCACAGAAAGAAATAGCAACCTACTGCAGGAAAAAATCTACCTTATCAGTCATGTATTGAAAGATACATGATCACCCAAGCATGTATCAGGTATGGTACTTAACTGACTGACTGTTCTTAAGATCTTTCCCTATAAAGGCAAAAGAGACCCATCTGCCATACTATTTTAGCCATATTTAGAGGGTAGAAGAAACAGATTCATGCTTTTTCCAAGTGTAAACAAGTGAACACAACAGCTATGATTATTTACATTATTCGAACTGTTATCCTCATCTTCATTACTATATTCACAACGTTTTGACAGTTGTACACTCCAGCCTTCTTCAGGTTATTGGATTTTCAAACTGAACTCTTTATTTTGTCCACCAGGGTATACTGTTCTAGTCCCATGTGCTTGGTGGATGAAATAAAGGGTTTGATTTGAAATTCCAATCACCTGAAAAAAGCCAGAGCATACATATTGTGAATATGGCAATGAAGATGAGGATTAACATAAATAATCATAATACCTCATCACAGAGATATAGACAGATACAACAGCTATGATTGGAATTTCATGTTAAAATGAAGGAATAAAGAGTAGAATAAAATGAAATAGAAGTTAAAAAGAAGGTATATTTTGACATATTAACATCTATAAAGTTCAATTAATAGCGTACTTTCTTTTGTTACTCTCTTTGTGAACCTCCAAATAAAATGGTTTCACCTCCAGGAGAGCAACTCACTGTGCCTTTTTGGTCTGATGTTTTTCACTGACAGGAAGTCGAATGATTATATTAAATCAATTGCTAAAGTTGGTTCACTATGTTGTGTCAGATGATTTTTTTTTTTTTTCACCAGAATCCATCTTGCATACTTATAAATCTACTATTCATTTGTGCATTGAATATTCCTGCCAAATCTGTTCTGGTGCTCCTGCTATATATCTTGAGATTCTTGATAAAACCCAAACAAGTGTCTGTAATGTTATCAGTCCTGACCTGGCATCTCAACTTCATTTACTTTCTCACAGCTGTGATTTGGCTACAGTTTGTCATTTTTATAAATATTTTTATGGCAATGAGTTTCCTTCCTTGGGGTCAAATTTTAAATTGTTATTTATATCTTCTACCCACAGACAAATTGTACATATGGGGACAAGTTAGGGCTTCATAGAGACTCTGAGGTATTATGTTGGCTGTAGTAAGAATGGTAAGTAAGATTGTGGTGTTTTGGTGTAAGAAATACTGTGGTATGTTTGGGTCAGTGATTGTGGCTAGGAAAGTTTAATTATAAGACAGATAAAAACAAGACTTTCCCCATCCCCACCTTTTGGCCTGGTGCCACATATTTGTATTTTACAAAAATAAATATTGCTTACCTCCTTGGTATATTTACTGCATGAATTTAAGTGTAGTAACAGATTGACAACTAGCTCTCATTGTTTTACTGTTGAAATTAGAAATTGAAGTTAGATGTTATCATAAGTTTTATTCTAATAGTTTCTATTCTCGCACTTCTCCCATGTGGAAATCACTTACAGTTTTTTGCTTCCCTGTCACAAAAATTTAAATGCAACATCAATTACCATCTTTTGTCTTCCTGAATTGTCTTTTATTGTCTCTTCTCCTCACTTAAGTCTTCTCATTTTCTTTCACTTTCAGTAACCCTTTGTGTCTTAGTGGCATTATCAATTTGCTTGGAGTGAAATGATTAAAAAAAAAAAAAAAAAAGAAACAAGTAGTAGACGGGCTAATAGGAATTGGACAAATATTACTTTACAATATCACATACTCACAAGTGTTTTAGGCAACAAATATGACAGGAGTTGATAAAGAGAAAAGGATATTTAATATGAGTTTTTATTGTTTCATAAAAACCAAAAGACAAAGCAAACACTTGACTGTCCTGTCATCAAAGATTAGAATATATTGACTAAATAAGACTCTTCCTCCTCCAAAATGGCCACCAAACAAGTAACTGCTTATAGACCCAAATATAAACAACCAACATTTACCTATCTTCAAACCAAGTAAACGCTTACAGACTCAAATACAAATGGCCAATAGTTAGCTATCCTTGAACCTAGTAAATGTTGATTAACTCAAATATAATCACTCTTATTTACTGAATACTTATAGATTCAAATATTAAAAGAAAATGTTTTTGACAATAAATAATTCACAAAGGGTTGATGATTTGTAAAATCAAACACCCCAACCCAACCCAACTAGGTGAATTCTAACATGTTCCCCAAAGTGGACAGAGAAAAATAAATAAGAAAATACAAGAAAACAAAGGCTAATGTAAAAGGTGAGAGAACCCCCCCCCCCACCAAAAATAAAAAACCCAGATCAATGGGACAGGTATTAAAAGAAAGACTTTAATTCTACCTGAATTCTGTTTAAAAAGTCAATCAAAATAGTTTTAATATCTTGAGAACCATAAAACTCTAAAATTATAGTGCATAATTCATATACTGTATATACTTGCGTATCACATGACTTTTGAAGACCTAATTTTAAAGCTAATTTTAAGGGGATCACATCATACATGAGATATAAAATTAGCATATGTACTGCTGGCCCTGGCTATGCTGTTGACCAAACTATATAGCAATTTACTATAGTTAAATTAACTTCAAAATTAGGTCTTCAAAGGTCACATGAAATGTGAGTATATACAATATATATGTTTGTGAAATATACACAAATGCAGATATGAAAACTAATTCCTATTATGCTACCTACATCATGACTCAAAAAACTAAAATAAAATCCCATAACTTAAATTTAATATACTTTATTTCAAATACCACAATTTTGAATATACAAAACAAAACTTTTTTTTCAAATACCACAATTCTGAATATACAAAACAAATGAAATATTCAGTGTGAAGCAAAAAGTAATCCACTTTTTTTTAGCCAAGGTGGCTAGGATGGCATGGAGCAGATGAGTGGCCATTATAATCACCAGACCTAACAACACCAGACTTTTTCTTGTGGGCTGTATTGAAAGATCTTGTTTACAGGTTCAAACTGAAAACAATTCCTGAATTAAAACAAACAATTTCTGAAAGATTTTCTGAAATTAATGTAGAAATGTGCCAAATGGTTTGTAGAAGTGTTGCTGATAGTGTTCAGCATTGTATTGAACATGAAGGGGAACATTTTGTACATATTAAGTAGTTTATTAACGATAACAAATCCTGTTGTTTTGATATGACACGACTTAGAAATTTTTTTAAACTAGTCTAATTTATTTTTCTCCAATAAAAGTTAATAAATAAAAAGGGTGTTACTTTTGATGCACCTTGTATAAATGAAAATAATAAATAAAACAAGCAAGCTAAAAGTCAACTAAAGGGTTGGCTTCCTCAACTTCCTCTATTCTCTCAGTGGCCTATATATATATATATATAGAGAGAGAGAGAGAGAGAGACCACTAAAGGAGTAGTGACACATGGTCAGAAGATTGTTTGAGGTGTGAAACTGACAGTCAGCATACAGTGTTAATTCCTATGTCCACAATGCCTATATCTACAAACACTGTCTCTGAAATTGAACACTTCCTCATAAATATAGCAAATACATGCACACACATCTATAGTTAGGTTTATACGCATATACACAGTAGATAAATAGTGATATGTAAAAATATTGTTTTATCATTATGTTTTAGACATAATACATTTGCCTATATATTTATAATACCTCCAGTTGTTTCTGTTTGTAAGTTTTTGATGCATAAGTTATCTTCCTTGCACCAGCAAGAGTGGCTGAGTCTTTTTATGAGTGATAAACTTCTCCAAAATGCTTACAAAGTCAAGATGTGAAAAAAAAATATGATTATGAAAGAGTAGTGTATAACAATAATAATACAAAAGAAATATATTTAAAATACTATCATTCTAAACAACATGAGTAAACTAGTATAAATATAGAGATATTCCTTTAAACATTATCAGTAGACACTTTGAAAGAGATACATCATTTTTATTTATTACATGGAGTGTACTATGACTATTGTCTTGTACATTCAAGAGATCTAAGTAAATTTGCTTTCTAGCAGGGATTGAAGCTGCAGCTCCTTTGTAGGTGAAATTACAGCTTGCTTTGACATGCTTTACTGTTTAGAAATGACAGATTTCATAGTAAACAAGGCTCTTTTTACCCTATTTAAGGAAAGCATATCCCCTGACCTCAGATTATATTTGTCGAGAGCCCATATCTGGTAAATTTCTGGTAAAACCAAGCACTTTCTAAAGAATTGGTTTATTTTTAATTGATATTTTTATTAATTCAAATGCTATTATACTGAACATTTCTTATTCAAAATAAATGTTCCATTTTTATTTATTAAGCAGTGTGTATTTCATCTATCAGTTTGCACATTCAAGAAAACTTAGTAAAGAAAATGTTTTCTCTGGTAGATACTAATGTTAAAAGTAATAAAATTCTCAGATTAAAAATAAACCCATTAATACTTATATATATATATATATATATATATATATATATGAATGATGCAATCTAATTGTCACCTAAATTACACAAAAATTAAAATAACACCGACATCTCATTTTAAAAGATATA